TAATAATAGGACAATCTCTGAGACTATAAAGAAAGTCAGGGTGGAGTGTCGTGCGCGCCGCGCGTGGGGGGGGTGGGCGGGGGGGGGGGGGGGGGGGGGGGGGGGGGGGGCGGCAGGATTAGTTGCTATTGTTTGTAAAGAGGAAGAGCTGAGTGGATGGGGAAACTACAAAGCTTCGACTTAAAGCTTGTAATCATTATTCTCCTAAAAAACATATATGAGTTTCACAAAAACTAAAATCTGACTTTTTACGAATCTAAATAGAACGCAAATTTTTCTTGTGATAGAAGTGAAAGAGAAAAATTTGGCATTGTGTTTGATTAAAAGTGCTCACATGCACATATCACAATTAATATCTGCAACTACTTTCCATTTGAGGTGCATAAAAAATAGCAATCAATAAAACAAACGAATACCGTTACTTTCTTTTTATAAGACACGATAAAAAATCATTATTGAGGTCATGATATTAATTAACTTATACAAGATCAGCTGATTGTTTATGCTACATTTGTTTTAATCTATTTGATAAGATTATGATAGTATTGAGAAGCAGAGAACAAACCGAACCAGGTTTCGTTGATTCGAGTTCGGTTTAGCTCGCATTCATTCTTCAAAAATCAGTTCGGATTGGATCAGATTAGAGTATGTTTGATTTCCCCTAATTACGAGTAAATAATAGATCAAAACTTCATAATCAAACGATAATGATGTCACCTTATAAGTGATAGTGGTGTAAATCTATATTGCTTAATACACTTGCCGATTAAATCAAGTTTTTAATATTAATGTGTAAGCATCACCGATCTTTTTTAGTTTTAATTCCCAATTTCATACAGCCACATACGAGTATTCATAATATTACAGAAACAGAGAAAAATTTAAAAGAGAAAAAAAAAGAATTATGCCGCATAAAATTGGTTCCTTGTTGTAAATACAATAAATCTAACTGTTATGAAGAGAAAAAAAATTGTGTCATATGAAAATTAAACTAAGACTGTCATACAATCCATAAGAGCTCATTTTATCTTCGCCGACTGGGTTACATTTCTATAAAATAGATTATAGTTCAATCGATTATTTTTCATTCAAGGTTTGACTCCGTTCGAGTTTCTTTTTTTTTTTGAGAAATAGTTTGAGTTCCGTTCGATTCGTTTTTGATCTTTGTCGTGAAGCACTATCTTGAGAGTCTAGTAAAATTATCAGGTATTACCTATGTACATAGTTTTTGTATCAGAACGCATCTCAATGGCAGCAATCGAAAGCAATAGACGCGGCTCTGGTGAAACATTTCGTGCGTCCAGACGCGTTCGCTTCAATATTTGAATCTTTAAAAATGTATTACAATTCGCTCAGGTTTGATCTGACGAGGGAACATATGCAAGTGTAAAAAATCTTTTGAGTTCGGACTCTGTGCATAAGGTAGACCCCAGTGAGCTATGAAAAACCCTAAAATGATAAAGACTGTTAGGTCTTCTGTCCAGAGTTACAGGTATTTTACTGGAATTTTAGCCTATGGCATGATATATACCAACAAATCGAATGATTGTACTTCGACCTGATATTTTGCCCATAGATAGGTCTACATTTGAATAGAATGCCCTGAAAATTTCAGCTCAAAAGAATATTTTCTTCCCGAGATATTAAAGTCTCAAAAAACAGAAAATTTTAGCATCTTTTGTAGTATATGAGTCATTTTTGGGACTTAAATATCTCGGGAAGGAAACATTCTTTTCAGCTGAAATTTTCAGGGTATTCTACTCATAAATAGATCTGCCTGTGGGCAAAATCTCAGGTCGAAATACAATCATTCGATTTGTTGGTATATATCATGCCATAGGCTAAAATTCAAGTAAAATACCTGTAACTCTGGACAGAAGACCTAACAACCTTTATCCTTTTAGGGTTTTTCATAGCTCAGTGGGGTCTACCTTATGCACAGAGTCCGAACTCAAAAGATTTTTTACACTTGCATATGTTCCCTCGTTAGACACAACATTATTTCTGAGCACCATATATATTCTTCAAGAATTATAATCGTCTTCGGGACATCAAAATTTGATGAAAACTTGATTTCTTATATACCATTCGATGCGCCATAAATTGCTTCACAAAGTCACATATATGGTATCGTAGTTCAAGATAGATCATCAAATCCGGCAGCATCCTTCCATTTGATAAATTTCATTTTTTTGTTTTATTACTAATATAGTTAATTCTTTGTGAAGCTTGCTTACAGAAAGGTTGTCAAAATAGAACAAGATGTACAAAATTACATTTATGTCGTTATAAGTATCATTTTTCAAATAAGCCACTAGAAAAACCTTGTAATTATCCACATAAACTTAGTAATCATCCGAATAATGTTATTCTATTACGACGATTTAATTATGATACATTAAATGAAGATCTTCTTCTTAGTTTACTTCGTCGTTATTATAAAATAAATAATGAACAAGTAGAATAAATTTTTCAAAATTTTTTTTTTTTTTTTTTATTTATTTCTAAAATAATCATAATTTCTAGCCTCAAATAGAGAATCATGTCAATTCCAATCGATCTTTATCGTCTCTATCTAGTGATATTGATTCAAATAATGTTCAAGGAAAAAAACGAATTTGTCTATCAGCTCGATCAAGACCACTATCACAACTAAAGATATCACCAATTCAATCATCTGTATCAATAGATAAGATTATAGAACGACAATTAGATGTTAGTATTCCATCGGAACAAGATGCACCAGATGTTGATCTCGAAATAATTGAACTTATTTTAGCAACAAAAAATATAATTATCGAACGAATATTAGATAAACAAATATCAAATGAATTCTATCGACGATATACATTACAATTTAAGAATAAACAAGGTAATTATTAAATTAGAATAAAGAAAATTCTTTTAAAGAACACTTTATCTTTATTGACATAAAATATTAAAATTTATCATTTAAAAAAAAAATTGATAAAGCGAACTTCGTAGTGTAGACCCTTTAAAACTTAAATGTAGAATTCACATATGTTCTTTAGTTTCATTATTCTAATATAAAACTCGTCAAGTGAAAAAAAAACTCTCATAAACTATATTCATTTACCAAGTAAAATCGATCATCAGGGAAACGATCTGTCGTATTTCGAGCAGAACTTCTTTTTACTGGCCCTCTATATTTTTCTTAATTTAACATTATTATTATTCTAACCACTGACTTAACCGGCAAATAAGTCTATTGTGTATATCCATTATATTTATAGTAAGTCTCAACACACTATTATATACCTTGATTGGCTCAGAAACACTGATACAGATTATTCTCTAAGGTTATAACTTGATCAATTCACACTTTTTTTTCTTACTGATCATATGAAGATTGTGACAAATCAATGCATCACTACTCATCATTCTTGATATCTTGACTAAAGTTTTATCTGCACAAAAATAAAGAAAATTATTCTATTTAGGACATTCATAAATATATTTCAGTCAGTCAAATTCTGAGGAAGTCTTTGGAATTTTTTGCAACAGTCTAATGATTTTCAGAGCTTTTTCTCTTTACTATACGTTTCTTCAAAAAGAAAGAACCTATCAGTTTCATATAGAGATTCTATTTAGAGTATTTTCCATACAAATAACTCAAGTGGCAATCATTTATTTGATCAATGATGAATTTTATTAGTTGCCACAGTTTGATATTCTCTAATAGAGTATCATCTAAATCTACTTACGCAATATCTGACTTATTTAAAAAGACATTCTAGATTTAGAACGAGAAATCTTTTTGAATAGATATGAAAGCTAAAGTATGGAAGATGGGATAAATTGAAATCAATACTATGGAAATCTTAGCTTATATCGAATAACTTAAAATCTTAATGTTGAACAATAAGTTTTATTTTTCCTAATTATTAATTCTTTTTTTTTTTTTTTCTTCTATCAGTTATTGACAATATACTTCAAAATGAACCAATTATAATGTATAATAATATACCATTAAAAATGAAACGAACCGAACGACAAAAAGATAAAAAAATATTTGCACTTAAATTTAATACTGATAAAAAAATTGATAGTATACGATTAAATTTATACATCGAAACACTTGTTGGAAAAGTTCATCCAAATGTATATGATATGACAAACGATGGTAGTGATGAACAAATACATCTTATTCGATGTGAACAACCTATTGGTTTGTATATTTATAATTGAAATAAATTTCAAAGATATTTTCTTTTCCTAGATTTCGAACATTTACATAAAGCACATGCAACAAAAAATACTTTACAAGGTTATCGTATAACTATTATGGAAGTGTATGAATCAGAAGCTCTTGAAGTTTCGTTAATAAAGGGATCATTTCATCAATCTTTGACTGTATCACGATTACGTAAATTGATTGGTGAACAACGTTGGCAACACGATGTTTTTGCTTGTCTTTGTATTCGAAACCAGACTAGTGCTGAGATCGAATTAATGAATGCTGAAGGTTTTGCTTATCTCTTTATTAAAAATTAAGAAAAAAAAAAAAATACTTCTTTATTTTTGTTTTGTTTTGTTTTAGTCACAACTAAATGGTTATCAGAAGCACATAGAATTGAAAAAGATATATCTCTTACTATCAATCCGATTATTGATTTTATTCAACCATCGGAAAAAAAAGAAGAAGACGATGAAGAAATAACAAAACTATTTGCTTCATCAAAAATATCTTCAACACCTTCACTTTTAAATATATCAGATGATTCACAGAAAGGAGAAAATGATTCTAGTCAGTATACAATCAAATCTGATTGGCGTGTTGTTCTTACACATCCAGTATTTGGTGATGAATATAGAAAATATATTCGTAATTATCTTCTGTTATTATATTTCTTTAAGATTATCATAATTTCGATTATTTAGGTGAAAATTTAAATATTTCTGCTCAAATAATTGGTTCATCAATTCAAGTACCTAATGAACATATTCGTAAAGAATTAGCTCGTTATACAAATATGTTCATTCAAAAGTTTGCCTTCCAAGAACTTAGTAATTTAACTAAGCCACAGGTTAAAATTATAAAAGATAATTATTCAAGAATGGCACATAAATGGCAAAAAGATACAAATAAAACATTAATTGCTGCACGTCGTGATATTATGAATGAAATTTTACCAAGTATATCTTCATCTAGTCGACAACAAAATAAAATAACAAGTACACCAATATTTCCAAATAAACAATCACCAATTCTTGGAAAACAAGATCAACCATTAATATCACCAATTCCTAGAAACAAAGAAAAACAATTACCATCACCAGCTAAAGAGTATTGAATTAATTATCTTTTTTTTTTTTTCTTTTATTTTAATTATAATCTTATAATTAGATTACTTATATCTCAAACAAAATCATCAGAAGACCAAATTCAAGTACTTCCATATTCAATTGAAAATAGTGTTTATTTTCCATTTTTTGCTTCATCAAATCCATTTTCAGAACGTCTTACTACTTATCTATTAAATACATTTAATATTAAATTAGATATAAAACCTATTTCATCAGTAAAAATTATGCTTGAACTTAAAGGTCAATATAAAGATGTTTCTGATGCTCGACCTACTTTGACAAATTTATTTGCATCATTAAAAACAAAAATTTATTCTGATACAAACGATTGTATATTTATTTATTTTGATCTTTTAAGTTTTCTTTTTTCTTTTATTTATTTTAGCTTGTAAATTTTCTATACCTGATATTTATCGTGTAATACAATGGAAACTTGATCAATGTTCAATTATATCATCATGTAGTTTTTCAACAAAAGATAATGGTATTTTATTAATAAGATATTTTGCTGATAGTCCACAATTTGGTGTTGATGAACAACAAATTGATGATATTATACAACATAATATTTTCAATAGTTCATATCATTTTTTAATGACAAGTAAAAAACTTGAAATTAATTTGGAACAATTACAAAAGAAAATACAACAAAGATCTGATTATGGACAAGATATATGTTGTTTATATAATGATCGAAAAGGATCAACAGAAAAAATTCGACTACCTTCAATACATTTATGCGGAAAAAAATCTATTGTTCAACAAATTTATCAAGAAGTTAAAACAATTGCTGATAATTATGCACCGACGCCATGTAATATACAATTAACATCAAATCAAGTGTGTATTGTTATTTTTAGTAAACACTTCAATCTTAGAAATACTTATTTAGAATCAGAAGTTTTGTAAGATTCACATTAGAGGAGTTATAAGTAAATCTTTGAAAAGTCTAAAAATAAAGTTTGAACTGTGCTTAATAGAATGTTTGAGATAGATATAACATTTATTCTAAATATATACACCAATAAAAAAAGCAAGCAGTTCTCTACAAACAGATAAGCTGATTTTCAGTATTCTGTAAAGCGTCTATAATAAATACAATTACATGTTCACAATTTCTTGATTTTCACACTTACAAAGTGAGCTTAGTCGTTTCTGATTGATAGCTGCAAGACTCTTACGAGGGAACATTCCCAGGTGTTGGAGCGCTTTTTAGCCGGGACTTTGCGCATCTTGTAGGCCTTGATGAATTAGGTCTACCGTAAAAAAAGTTCGTGCCCATAGCTTGTTCCTAGTGAGATATCGAGGTTTTAGTGAATTTTTCCTATAAGACCCCACATTTGCAACAAGGTCATATTTTTGAATTTTGATCTGAAACTTTGCCCACATAAAAACCTCAGCTAGACTAGTTTGCATAAAAAATTTCAAAACTTTTGGGCAAAGTCTCTCCGAGATATGAAGCTTTCAAAAAATGCATGCTTTATACGCTATCTATGGAAAACGGCTTATACGTTGAAAGCTTCATATCTCGGAGAGACTTTGTCCAAAAGTTCTGCAATTGTTTATGCAAACTAGTCTAGCTGAGGTGCTTATGTGGGCAAAGTTTCAGATCAAAATTAAAAAATATGGCCTGGTTGCAAATGTGGGGTCTTATAGGAAAAATTCACTAAAACATCGATATCTCACTAGAAACAAGCTAGGGGCACGATTTTTTTTTACCGTAGACATAATTCATCAAGGCCTACAAGATGCGCAAAGTCCCGACTAAAAGTCACTCCAACACCTGGAAATGTTCCCTCGTTAGTTCTTAGCTCACTTTATAGAGAATAATCTCGATTCTTATATTGTATAACAAAGTCGTTAATAAAACACATGCAAGAAGGCATATCATTGTTGAGAAGGTAGTTTATTATTTAGGTGTGGATCTAGAAACATTCAAAATCTGATGCAGTCAAGTAGAAGAAAGGTTTTTATAAAAATAACGAGAAAAATCACTGAAGAACAGAATGATATTAATTTTCAATAGGATAGGGTCGTATTTTCCATCTCAGGAATACTTAGTGAAACTATCTCTGTTCAAATTTTATTTTCCGACTATTCAAAGATTTTCTCATAACTCCTGACCTATGAATCTCATGAAAATGCTAAACCAAGATTCGAACAGAGTAGAAAATTCTGATTGTAACCTATTGTTTTATACTTTCTACTGACTATATTTTAAGTAGTAGAAAAATGAAGAAATATTTTGTCTAAAAATTTTCAATATATCCGTCATTACAATAGTTTATTGTCAATTGACTTGGTTTTTCGTAAGACCGAGCAAGTCAATAATTTACAATTTTAGTTTTCATTACAGTTACAGTGTAAACAAGGGTTTTTTCACTTTTTATACCGTTGCTAAATATAAAATTATGCATAATAACATTTGTTTATTTCGTATACTTGTAGTGAATTCCAGAGTTTTTAAAAAGCTACTGATATATGATTAATGTCATTATAAAGTTTTCTTTTTTGAAATCAACATTTTAAATATCGATTGACATACGAAATATCTATAATAAGAGACTATAAAACAGTTCACAAAAGAATCTTAATAGATAGCATCTCGCATTTAAGATAAATTCCTAAGAGCTATTTATAAACAATATTTCATAAATCCAAGAAGGATAACGCGCATGGCAATGAAACCATTTTGCCTTAACGAATCCTAACTAGAGTTAGTAATGGGTGTTTCATTTCAAACGCTAGATATCTCATGAAAAGATGCCCTTGTCAGACAATTTCATAGTACAGTTAATAAACATTTCTGATATAACAAATCTTAAATAGAACCATGTAAAGACTCAATATGAGATCTATTTTATTTCTAGGTTAATTTTTTACTACATATTTGTTCAACTGATTTAATTAAATTTGAAAAAGAATATGAAACTGATAATGTAGATTTACGATCAACATTAAAAGGTGATACAACAAGTCAATTTTTTGCACCGAAATATTTACATGAAAAAATAAAATTATATTTATTTGAAATGAGTCAAATACAAATGTTATCCAAAGATATTAAATGTTCAACACAATTAATTAATAATAAAAAACAAGAATTTAATGATTTAGCATCTAAAAATCGTTGTCTACTTTCAATAACATTATCATCTCAATCAACAATATCTAATCGAATAACACCTATTACTTCAAAAATTAGCTCAGGAACAATTCATGTATCGAATGGTGATCTAACATCAGAACAAGTAAAAGATCCTTTCGTATAATATCATAAGTCTGGCTTCATCTATAACATGATTCAAACGTATATCATGAGATGACTTCCAATATTTCTACATGCTTCAATGTATCTTTTTGATTTTATTAGATTTTTTACATCGAATACTTCTTTGTAAGTTTCTATAATAGTAACAGATACATCTTGTTTTACTCTACAAAATGCATATTGATGATCGATACTTAATATTATTCTTATGGAGAAATATAAAATTTTCGAGTATCGTTGGTATTATTTTTTTTAATAAGAACCTTTCGTACAGTAGCTCGTTCTCTGCTCATGTACCATTATAAACAAAAACTACTGACACTGAATAGGAAAGAGTTATTTCCATAGAAAATATTTAAAAAATGACTAGTATTTCGAGAGTTTTGATTATCAAAAATCACCATCATATTCAAAATCAGCATAGAAAAACTCACCAAAACCTTGATTTTTCATCGTAAAATATTTCCATCAAACGTTTATTTCTACTCGTCTTCAAATCTTCTATATTCCTTAAATTTTAGCGTGTAGTTTCTTTCTAACAACTCAAAACTTGATGGAAAAATTTTACAATGAAAAATCAAGGCTTTTGGTGAGTGTTTTCATGCTGATTCCAAATATCATGCTTATTTTCCATAAAAATCAACATTCGATAATCAAACTCTTGAAATACTACTCATTTTTTTTTTGTTAAATATTTTCTATAGAAATAACTGTTTTTCTATACACTCTAATAAGTGTATGACATATTCTTTCCGAATCAAAGCTAGTGCATTTTATATAGAGGTTCAGAGCGTAACTTATGAGAATGTCTAAATCTTGTTCATTACGGTATATAAAAGAACGAGTTATTACACTAAAGAATTCATATAATAAATATCAATGGTGTTCAAAAATCTCACATTTATCCACAAGAATAATGTCAAGTATCAAACATCAACATGCATTTTGTAGAGTAAAGTTGAGATGCAACTATTATTGTTGTGCAAACTTAGAAAAAAAAGTACTCGATGTAAAAAAAATCTGATCAAATCAATGTTGAAAAAAACAACAACATTGGAGTATACAAGGACGCATAAGCTTTATCGTCATATACGCTTGAATCATGTTTTAGGAGGAGGGGGTTGGGCCAATTTTACGATCCTATCCGTCGGAGTCCTTAGAAAATAAAAAAAAAAACGATTCTTTTTTTTGCTTATTTTTATACAGTCTGAAGTTCTTGTTATTTGTTCATCATCTACGAAACTCTGTGATATCGTTATTAAAGCAGCTGGAAAACAAGTTGAAGAAGAATTAAATGGAAAAGATCTAACAAAAAATATGATTGAAACATCCGTTGGTAATTTAAAACAAGCTAAACGTCTTCTATTTGTACCATGGACACCACCATCAAAATTGGTTACTAATCAAGATATTGATGCACTTCGTCAATCAATCTCGACATTTATTCAACGAGCAATTCAATATACTATTCAAGGAAAATTTAAAAGTATTGGTATGTAGATTTTTTTAAATGATAAAAATATATTTTTTATTGAAATTATTGACATATTTTAGCATTTCCAGCTATTGGATGTGGTGGTTTTGGAATATCAGCAGATATAATTGCTACAATTATGATTGATACTGTTCGTGAACAATTCATTGCTAATCCAACTATTCAATTAGTGATTACATTTGTTGTACAACAATCAAATGTATTTGATGTGTTTAATGCTAAACTCAAAAGTACATCGACGGCTACTACTACTGCTAGTGATAATCGTTCTCCATCATTGTCTTATTTATCAAATCAAGAAAGTTAGTATATGTATTTGTATGTTTAAGAAATATTTATTTTTCGATTTTATTCTAGAATTTAATATAAATCTTGTAACATGTAATTCAAATATTGATATAGCCAAGAAACTATTAGCAACCATGGAAAATATTCTCACTTCATCGTTTTCTTCTTAACTGTTAATCAAGAGAGAAATCAATTGCTTTATTTTTTTTTTAATATTTTAAATGCGTTTGCTATAAATGAGAGGTTATATTATTTATGATCTGAATTTGTTTTCGTATGTGAAATGATATGGAATAGATCATCATAAAAACAATACTTTTTAATGATTTGAATAAATAGATGAAAAAAAATATTTTTGTATACTTCTTCTTGTTTTCAAAAAATGTTAATATTTAATTGTTAGTAATAATGGGTGAGAGTGTGAATGTAAATGATGACTTTATGTACGTGCATAATCATAGTCACACTAATACCCCGCTATGATCCTGGCATTTTGTTGTTGTTGTTGTTTAGCTTGCGAAATACTGAAATGAAAGAAGACCGAGATATTCTAGAGATTGTCATAAATATTTCAATATTTGGATTTAGTTTAACCCAAATGATCTCGATTATTAGATCATGCAGATGTTCAATGACCATCTGCATAAAAAATCTCCACAAATAGTACGATTCGTTCCTGCTCATGTACATGCTTCATGTACATTGTAGTCAACAATTAACATTCAGGATAGATGAGAATCATAGTTGTAGGGAAAAAGACAATTTGAAATAATCTTACTGAATGCGGAGAGACCCGTTTCGATACATGGCTAAATGCTAAAGAATCAATAATCAACATAATATTTAACCATTTTTATTTCGAAGAGAATTGTGTTATAATTCATCGGCATTAGGCAATCAAGCACTTTTACTTTCTTCTTCTTATTTATCATGGGATCGGGAGAAAAAGAAATGTCTGATAAGTGTAGAGAAGAATAGGAAAAATAATGTCGAGTAATTTAAGAAAAAAATCAAATCAAATGCAGCGTTCAACTGTAGATGACAATCATAATGTTTAATAAATACTGTAATATTTGTATCGAAAACGATTTCAAAAATGATCAGAGTTTTATTGAATAGTAAGTCGATAGATATTATCGGTATCGATAATTGTCAAAATCATAAGTTGATTCTATTAGTATTAATTTTTCATTGTCTTTTTCTTGACGTAAACCGTTTTGCAGTTAGTCAAATAATTGCTATCAATATTCCCAACTGACAAAGTAAATTTTGAAACAAAAAAATTCGGTATCCGCTGACACACATTCACTTAATGGATTTTTATTGAGTAGTATAGAACTCAGCAGCAGACCTGTTCATGTTGAAAGAGAAATAAGCACCAGATCATGATTTTTTTTAATGTTCCGTCCTTCTGCGCAACAGAAATATACTTGTATATAATGTTGTTAGAAATCATTCTTACAAATACGATAAATTATGAAGAATATGCATATACTAATGCTACTTGTTGAATGTTCTGTGATTGATGTTCATTATCCTCTATATTATTCTGATAATCGTCAAGACTTGTTTCCTTCATTCGATTGTCTATATGTTTATTTAATCGATGATGTCAAAGTCAATGATGAGCCTTATATTCTTAACTATCATTTGATTCCTTACTATATACGACCTGATATGAGCGAAGAATTGCCAAATATATTAAACAAAAATGTAGCAATATGTTCACATTTGATAAATGGAGAGAATAACGTATGACTAGTGCACAATTATTTGATTGATCAGCAGCGATCACTTCAGCAGAACGATATATAAGAAATATTGGAAATTCATATGAAATTCTTTTACGATTGCTCATCATCTTGGTTTGGTTCTATGTGTCAATATAAGTTTGAACTAGAGACATCATCATAATTTGCCGACATTATTCAAACAACTTTCGAAAATCGTCTTGGCATTTGTTATAGTGATTTATTGCCTTTATGTCTCCATTGACGTGAAACTTGTGATGGAAACTTGATTGTAATGGTTAAGAAGATAAAAAAATGTGTGAGATGTTAGAATTAAATGAATGTGCCGAAGCTGAATAGCGATGGCATTATGATAGACAGCGTATTTCAATAATGTTTGTACATGATGACAAGACTAGTATCGGTTGCCTGAGTGGCAGTGATGAAAGTGAGGTGATAACATATTCAGTTGGTCGACCGCCTAGATTGGCATGTATCGGCATTCCAACATTTCGATGGGAGGAGCATGTCTGTCGAATGCGTCATTCATACTTCTGTGGTGATGGCGAGTATCTTGATAATTTGATATTACCTATTTTCTTCAATCAATGTTTCAATCATCGTGATAAGTTGATAAGTCGTGTTACTTTGACTTTAACTCAATCCCATTTCGAATATCAATTGTCAACAAACATTTCTTTGTTTAATTATGCTCTCTATTAATACTGCAAATTTTTGCACTACGACCTATGCAAATCTTTCGCATGATAAAAATTGCCAATCACTCAATATGTATTGTTCTTCTGAATAGATTACTCTACTTGAACAACCGATCATTTATGAATTTTTTCAATTTGTTTATCGAACTAATCGATTCATAGCTGAATGACATCAAAATATGATACCGGATTTAATTTGTTTCAATTCAGAACGATGTCCAACTTTGCTATTCTGTGCAATTAATGTTGAGATAGATACTAATCTCGCTTGCTATCATATTGAAGATATGAGTTTAGAAAAGAAAATCGATCAATACGCTTTTTAGCTTCTTTTTCTCGAGGATTTCGCTCAACTTTGGATGACAATGGGTATTGAACAATCATGTTCAGGCTATGGGTGTGGTTTGGATGTTGAGTAGACTCACACACCCATACCCACACCCAAATAAAATCAATGGAAATGTGCTTCATCCATGTCTTAATGACTCTATCTATCCAGATGCACGTGCTATAATAAAAAGTGTTTTTTTCAGGACGAGAAGAAGGAAGAAAAAATATTAGAATGTATACCGTACATAAGCCCTTTTAGGAGATAATGAACAAGACAGTTGCTTTATAGTAAAAAATGAATTCTTTTTCAGAATTTTATGAAGGAGTACGTTTATATGATACATAGAATGATAGAGAATTTTCATGCGCTATCAAATGGTATAACTTCGTTTATATAATTTATTTCTTTGGGAATAATTCTTAAAAAAACAAAAAGAAAAACAGCAAAAAAATGCAGATTTTTGGTACTTGCCAATTGAGGATGTGGTCACTGTACCCAGATTATTTTTCAATAAATGAACGCAAGAAAATAGGTAAGCATATAAAGCGATAGCGGATTTCAAGCTCTGTGAGAATATATAATTGCGTTTTCAAAAAGGTAATTCTATAATGATGAAAAGTTTATAAAATTAATTTTGATGACCAGTAATAAAATCAAGTCTGTGAAAATCTGGAGATGAGGATGTCTCCATTGAACTCAATTTATTTTGCTAGTACATAAGTGTAAACTAAAACATAAATATTCAGAGTGATAGAAAACTTCACGCGCTTTCAGAATATGTAATTAGCTTTTAAACATTGTGCTTTTATAGTGGTAATATAGTCGAAATATGGACGATAACTATTTTTTTACGAGGGTATATAGATTCATACATGCGAATTTTTTTCTAGTCTTATAGTGCGTCCATGTATCGATCTTTCTCGAATAGACAAGGCCAGAATGGCGCTTGCTCCTGGCAGTTGTAAAGCATCTCATTGCATATAGAAGACACGTGGAACAGTTTGTTTTTCTTTCGATAAGAAATAAAAAAGATTGAGTCATACGCTGTTTTTTATTAGCAACTTTTCGTCGTCAAAGATTTTTTTTAGTAGGTCAATCATTTGCATAAGTTGCTCTTCCCTTTTGGTTTCAACCAGACCATAGAAGTGTATGTATATTCAATTATAATTATGTAATTATTTCACATGTGATCGCGAAATTTACGTTTACTTTCTGACTCATCCATTAACCGTAGAGCTTGAAAGCAAAATCATGTTGTCAGCAACAGAGCAAAGCTATATAAGGATGCTGTAAAACAAGCTCCATTTTTTTCTCTCTTCTTTAAACTTTGTCTGTGTCGTCGCAGCACTGTTGTCTTTTTATAACAGTAAGGCAGAGTAAAGACTAACAATTAATGAAAACAACCTATAAACGTGTCAAAAATAGTAGGGCAATTATTTTATACACAAATAAAAAGGCCAAGAACTAACATAGAAATGAATGGACAAAAAATATAAATAGTAAACGAATTTAAATACCTTGGATTCACCTGGACAAGCAAATTATCATTGAAACCAACAATTGATAGATGTATAGGAAACATTCAGAAATCCTTGGGAAAGCTAAAGTGGTCAAGTGCAAAACGTTTTATGTCCACTAAGGCGCTTAGGCAATGCTTTTTTGCATATACATTTCCTCATTTTGCATGGATATTTCCTTTCTTTCCCTTGCTACCCGTGTCATATCGACAATTATTACAGCAAAAATTCCGTTTTAGTCATCGACTGGTGCATCGCTGTCCCTTTGTCTCAGCTCATAATCTGTACACTATGACTAGGGAAGATTCATTAGAACAGCATGTTAAACGCTCCATTCAAAAAAGATTAAAAAGTATGCACACAACGGACTTTGATCGTTCACTCTTTTATAATGATATTTTTATTTGAGACGAATTTCATAAAAGAAAGTAGGATCACCTTGGCCAATTTTATCAAAGCAATCGAGTAAAACGATTAATAGAAAAGCATGAATCACTTCTCTTAAAATGGATGTCATTTATTGAAATAAACTAATAGTATACAAAAAAAAGCACATGCAATATTTCTATTCCTTACTCCCTTCCCTTCCTTCGTTTTTTCGCCTTTTTTCTGGTCTTGAAATACATACATCCACCTCACTTTCGTTTTCTTTTCTCTTCTCTTCTCGCTCCGCTTTTGCTTCAACTTCTTTGGATGCGTTCGTTTTTTTCTTTTTCATTTTATTCTTCTCTTGTTTCCTCTTTTTCGTTCCTTTTTCTGTTTCAATATTTACCTTCTTAGCCCCCATGCCAGCTGAGTTAATACTCCATGTAAAGATATTGGTGGCGACAGTAAAACTTAGTGCGTTTATATTGTTGCTCAGTGCTTAAGTAC